CACCAATCATAAAACATAAGCGGCAGCTTCCCAAAGGCCAGGCAGCGCTTCTGGTGCGTAATGACTGCCCAGCCACTCAATTAGACATTCCTGATCTCAGTTCTAATGCTCGCTAAATAGTAGCTGTTAAAATTTGTCCTCCTGGCCAAAAGCCCTTCGTGGCCGTGTCTGCGTATTTTCGCCCAGGAAATATTTCAGTTGGACTATGCATATGGCTGGAGACGCTTAAGAAAGCATCTAAGAACCTCCCTCTGCTCATTGGAGGTGATTTTAATGCTCATCACCCTGCCTGGGGTGCCCGAAAGGCGAAAAAACGCGGAAAATATCTTTATGACGCTATTGAACTCTCTTCCGTAGAAATTTGTATGCCCCTGACACCCCTACAAGAATAGGACTACATGAGACACAGAGAGACACGACCCCAGATCTCACGCTCGCCAGTTTCCAATTTGTACGGCACTGGACAGCCTCCAGCCAGTCATGGGGCAGTGATCATCTCCCGATATTCATGGCACTTAATAGAAAACGCATCCGGATCAAAACAACAACGATGACTAATTGGAATACTTTTCGTAGTAATGTTACTGGATCATTCTCGACAGTTGAGGGCGTTCTGGACATTGTTCAACAGGCCGGACATTGTTCAACAGGCCACGAAACAGTGCCATGCGAAGACCATACTCAGCCGATGGATAACCATTTAGGCGATTTATGGAAAACAGCAGACTACTTAGTCAGCAGATACCGCTCGCACGGCAAACGACACTCCGACCTCATGAAAATTAAGCGCCAATTTAAGCTTATCAATGAATATCAGCTCTAAATTCAAAGTGAAGCCTGGCAATCCACTTGTGAAGGCCTTGGCCGTGTACCGGGCCTCCAAGGTTTATGGCGCATTTTTCGTAGCCTCTGCGGGAAAGGAAAAGGCAATTCTCCTCTGGTCGAGCTGTCCCTCAAAGCAGATCCATCCGTTGTGGAAGACGAAGTTATTACCACTTTCTTTCCTCACGCTTCACTCGCTCCGCCTACATCAACGAAAGCCTGCACCATAACGCAACCCGATCCGAATCTTGATCGCCCATTTAGCATGGGAGAAATGCTAGCAGCCATCAAACACAGGCGTCCTTGATCGGCGCCTGGCCACGACCGAATCACATGGCGAGAACTCCGCAACCTCGGAGATGAAGCCCAGGACGCACTTTTGGCTGTAATCAATGACCTCTGGGCCTCAGGAAATGTTCCGGAGAACCTTAAGCTGCCTCTCATTAATCCTATTCCAAAACATGAAAAAGAGAAGACCCTCTGCAAGAACCTTTGGCCAATATCTTTAACGTCTACTTTATGTAAATTCATTGAACGCATGATTCACACACGCATGTCCCATTACCTCAAGATAACCCGGCCGGGATACCATCCAGCCCAGGTGGGTTTTCGCCCTAACCTCGGCACCCATGACTGCCTTTGACTGCTACGGCGCGTTATCAATCGTACTTCAAGAAAGATGTTACCTGACTACTTGCTGGCCGTCGACATGCAGAAAGCGTTCGATAATGCTCACCATAACGCTATTCTTGAAGAACTAGCTAAGCGCTACCCAAGTCATCGTGCGCAGACATGGATTCGAAATTTCGTTGCTGCTCGGCCCATTCGCTTAAGCGGTGCATCACCTGTATGGAGCCCGAAGACTTACTACTTGGACAGAGGTGTTCCACAGGGATCTATTTTAGGACCGACGCTGTTTAATCTGGCCATGAGCAGGGTAGCAGAAAACTTTGAACGGGACACCACGGCTAGATGCGCCATCTACGCCGATGATATTACTATATGGACAGAGGCAGTGGATTATTCTGACAAAGAATCAATGCAGACTGAGCCGCAGGCAGCCCTCCTTAGTTTAGAGTCAACTCTTAAGGAAGTAGGCCTGCAGCTGGCTCCACATAAGACAGAACTTGTAAGCATAGACGGCAAGAATTGCACCAACCCGAAAATGTGTATCTCACTCCATATTGGATCACACACTATACAATCCAAAAACGGACAAATCACATTCTTAGGTTTACCAATAGCCAGCTGCAACAGCCCACAAAAGTGGGTACGTGGACTGCGGCAGGCATGGCCAGCCACGTTACATATGATACGTCGTCTGTCCAACAAATGCGGAGGTGCACGACAACAAGCCTGTCGCACTCTTGCAAGAGCTGCGGCTGTTGGAAAGATTTTGTACAGTACACCCATATACACGTTCTTTCCAACGGACATCCTAAATTTGGAACGCCTTCATCGGGCTACTCTCCGTACCATCACGGGGCTCCCTAAACACACTGAGATATCCGCCCTTGAAAGCGCAGGGGGCTTGCCCCCTCTGCAAGACGTCATTCAAGAAGCCCACACTCGACACCACATCCACCTGGAAAACACGACACAAGGTCGTCGCCCTCTGACCTGGGATTGTCAGCGGCATGATGATGCACCTCTTCTTAGTCAGTCCTTGCCTCCATGGGAAGCCTCTCGACTGTTCCGTCGCCCCATATCTCGTCACAATAATACTGCCCGCCAGTTTCTTGCCACGCGACAACTAAGGGAAGCGAGCTTGGATATCATCGACATATACACGGACGCTGCCATTACCTATGACGAAGCTTGTATAGCATGGATCTGCGCGCAGACCACCGAGTACACTGGGGCCTACAGGTGCCATCTACCGAACGGTACCCCTATGCATGCCGAACTACTTGCCATATGGGGAGTGACTGCAAGCCTCCAATACACTATACAGAAACCCCTTCGTGTCTTTACCGACTCGCACGCTGACTACTCGGAAATATTTCGCCCAGCGTCCGAGGATGCTACAGCTGCTGCTATTCAAAGCATCATTCTTAGGCATGAAAAAGCCGAGAGGCCAATAGAAATTATCTGGACGCCGGGTGCGCCCGGGAGCAATACGGCGGCACACGCCGCTGCTGCTTCCGCAGGTGGGTCGACCAATCTTTCTCTGCCCCCACCCCTCAGAGTGAACCCGTATGAGCTCCCTCGGTAGCCACAATTCACTACGTACGCACGTCCCTGCGCATTGCTAGTCAAAAACGCATTGCGGAGGTTACCCCACCAGTCCTATTTTCCAGCAAATTTAGGCTTTCACGCTCCCAAGAAGTCTTCATTAATAAGGTCTACGCGAATTCTGCATACACACCATACTCTTTAGCCAAATGGCGACAACCGGACATTGCGACAGTGACGTGCAATCACTGCGGGCTGCGTTGCCGCGCAGACCTTCACCACTTACTGTGGCAGTGTTCCGCATTTGAAAAAGGGTGAATGGCCATACAAGCTTTGCAAACTACAAATTATCGTGAAGCGCTCCTTACGGACCCGGACACGTAGTTATTATTTGCCCAATATGGAAGTCAGAGCGGCCTGATCAGAGTGGCTTAGGGGGTCCGACAAACCACAGTACTGACCCTATACCGCCTCAGTACCAGTGACGGTGAATACAATAAGTGTAAAACCCGTGACACTGTGAACTTGTAGTGTAGTTAGAAAGTCCTGCTTATCCCCACAGAGGTCCTGTGCCTCCCTATTTTTCTTCGATAAAGGACTTTCCATCCATCCATCCTTTAACTCTACTTTCTTGTTTTCAATAATGACGACATTCTTCACAGGAAAGAATAAGTATGGAAACATATTGGGAGTGTCGAGGGAGTGTTGCGGGTTAACATTGCTCTTAACATAACTTTGCAGCAGGGAGGAGACACAAACAGGTGCCTTATTTTTCCTCTTCTGTAATAAATAGACACTTATATATATCAAGTCCAGCTGCACAAATAGCAAAATGTTGGGTACAAAGCGAATTTGAATATTTAAGTGCAAGTGTGAATAGAGTGGAATATTTCCACAATATTTTTCAAATAGTTTGAAGCGAAATTGAGCAGAAAAAAATTTGTTGAAAGTTAAAGAGGATTCCTAAGCATAATCTAATGAGATAGCAACATGAAAGTGTTTCTTTTGGCTTGGGTGGTGCTTCACTGTTGTCTTACCAAGATTGAGGCCATTCAGAGGCCAAATTGTATTTATGTTCATGATTTTGTGCAACCAAAGTGTTGCCAACAATACATTACAAGTGAAAGGCAATAGTGCCATTTCCTCAGCCTCTCTTCATCTTTCTGTGAAAGCCCAACTGACAAGAGTCTGCAGTTCCAAATCTACCTTGTACTATATAAGAACATCTGGAAGTTTTTATGCTAAAATGACTGATTTTCCAAACTTCCTGCCCGAATTTCAGGTCCAGAACAACATTAATTGAGCCCTCATCTCTGCCACATTTATCATCTTCATGTTGGAACCAGCGTTTTCTAGAGCTAGTCCATATGTGACCATAACAGAGCTTGATCACCAGCTTTGTCACGATACCAAAGTGTGATGGGGTGAAGCATATCGAAAGTCCGAAGGGGGCATATCTAATCAGACGTTGACTGTGTTTGTTTTTGGGCAGGTGAAACACTAGTTCAAATAGTAAAACTCCAGAGCAAATCAAATCGATTAGCCAACACTGTTCGAAACATATTCGAAGTTTCGAATATATACACATCCCTAATATCAAGCTTTAGACTAGCGCGAGCCGACGCCTTGAAAGGTCACCTGTCGTCTTATTCTTTTACGAGCCAGAGGTGCAGATGTGATTCAGCATCGGTACAGTTTTTATATAATTCATTTTGTGGACATCATTTCATTTGTGTCTAATTTGTAGATGGGTTACAGTAACGCTTGTACTGAATCAGAGGCTGGGTGGTACGCTGACAAAGTGGCGAGTGCACCAAAACAATGTGTGTTGTTTTTTTGCAGTCCTTGTCTGCATGCACTTATTACTTTCAAAAAGTATTGTCCCTAATTGTTTTGGTTTGGAACTGACTGACCTTGCATTGAGCCTGATAACGACTGCTAGTCTTCCATTTTATAATAATATCGAGTGCACGACTGAGGAGAGGCCTCACATTCTCTTGCAGATGTTGGCCTCGAGATCACAGACCTTGACCGGGACGTGTCCGAAAAGCATGGCGGGGCGCCGCCTCCCGATTACGAAGACCAATGGTCCCCTGATGTTGCCCTGCGGGTGGATTTAGCCATGTTGGCCCAGGTGGAGGCACTCGAGCAGAGGCTTTTTGGTGCCTGCATGGAGGTCAAGGTAAGTCTCTGCTGACTGGTTGGAAAAAACAGAGTTGATTTGTTGCTGCTTAAATTGCTCTGCCTGTGCTAGACTAATATTTAAGGCCCAGGTATTAGAGGTATCAGTATGATCTAAAGGCATGTGTGAGTTGTCTGACTACTAAATTGATGCCCTGCAACGTCAATAAAAAAGGTATACAAAAAGGCAAATAAATATGTGAAAATAGTGCCATTACAGTCCAATATAGTGCCATTACAGTCCCTGCTCTGCAGCAAAGCTTAGCTCAAGAATAGTATCTAAAAGGCTTTTTCATCCACTTATCTTGATTGGCTTGAAATAAATTCTTTTTTGTTTTTGTGTACATGGAGGAATATTTGCGTATATTGGGTTGCTTATTGGCCACTGGAAGCTGTTGCTCCTGCGCAGCGTCTACAGCTTGCTCGACAGTCCAAAGTTGGTCTGACAGTCTGATCTGAGAAGCGGTAAGGCAGAAGGCACTTGTCGCAATAATATTCTAATTTGACAGTGGAACTCACCTGCTTGGACCACCAGAACGTACGTGCCCTGGGAGGCATAGGTCTTGCTTAGAGGACGGTTGCGATGCCAAACAATTTTACTGAAACGAGTGACGAACCTCTAACGCAATACACAAGCATAAACTTTATTTACACTTAGCTTGGAAAGGAAGTTGTGGTAAATGATTGGTGAGCACCCTTGAGCGATAATGCGATCCCTTTACGCCCCACTACAGCCAGCTGCAACGCTTCAACCATCGGCGTGACCAACGTGCTTTCAGACTGGCTTGGCTGGAGCTTGCCTTGGTCAGAAGTTACCAATGTTGCCAGTCACAATTTAAAATAACTGTGGCATTAGCGTGCAGAGAGAGGCATGGTCAAGTTTCTCATCAGCCCGTGTCCGCACGGCAAAAGTACACTTCATGCGGCCAATTTCGAAGAAAAACTGAAATAATTTCGTCTACTGTTGCTGATAGTCTGTTGTATTGTGGTCCGTTAAAACTGTACATCTCACCATCTGGTGAAGTGTACGTTAAAACGTACACCTCACCGTCATCGGTAGCTACAAAACCTGTGATTTGAGGTACGACTGGCGTCGCATGAAACGTGAACAGCAGCAAGTCTTAGAAGCGGTATAGTGCACACATCCAGTTTGACAGCAATGCGCATACTAGACGGTGTGCCTTATGCCATCGCAAATGCTTGCCGCTGTTTGCCTTTTATTTCATGCTGATGGCTACCTAGGCATTGTGGCGCTTCGACACTGCGTGACGTGAACACTGGCATCTTCAAGCTGCAGTGTCTGTCGGTGAAGTGAGGTGTCGCGTCGCAGTTCTGTCTGAACACGTTCGGAATGGGATAAGGAAAGCCATCGTAAATATATAGGGACTATGCAAAACATTCCCATTGAGTTGTACTGATATTAAACTCTCATAATTTTATATATTTCGCTATTTCAATGAAGTGAACTGACGAACGAGTGTGTAGCCCTAGATGGCACTCATCATGCTCGGTGATTTGCGCTGCCGCAGTAGCGCACAATCCTTTCAGTCGGCGAGTGAGAACCGCAATTTTCCTGATGTGTTTCATGTTATCGCCATCGTAATGTAAGAGGGGTGAAGCAAAGTCATAAATGGCATAAGCAGCATTACTAAGTTGACAATGTAGGCGCAAAAGAATTACACTGACAAAGCCAATTCCTCATTTCATCCGCGCAGGAGTGCAGTCAGGCGTAGCGTTCTACACTTTAGTATTCTGCATGTTGTTGTTTTTTCTTCCTCGTTAAAACTTTCAAATGCCTTCAAAATTATTCATTTGAGAGCTTTGATTCTGCATAGGTGCCATGTGCTTCGATAAGAACATCAACGAAAGGTTGGTCCCACATATAATAGACGTACCTTCTTTCACTCACTATCAGTCGCTGCTCGTTGGTTGTAAAAGGGAACACCGTAGGGTTGCTGCATTCACGACAGAGTCCACCAAAACATGTGCTTTGTGTGCGCCCGCGTACAGTTTCGTCTGTTCTGCCCGACATAAGAAACGGTGTCTACCAGGTAGTGCTGCTAATTTCGCATAAGGTCTCTTTAGCCTCTGCCAGTGCCCCATTTTAGGTAAGACAACCATAAAACACCAGCTGAGCCGAAAGAAATGCTTTTATGTTGCTATCTTGTAAGAACATGTGTAGCGATCCTCTCCAACTTTTTTTTCTGCAATTTCGCTTCAAAGTATTCGAAAAATATTCAACAAATAGTACATTTGATTTGCACTCGAATTTAATTATTCAAATTCGCCTTGCACGTGCAACGTTGCTATTCACACAGCCCTAGTTACTGCATATTTATCATGATATACTGAAGTTGCACTGAGTTATGCATATAACCAATTTAATAATTATCTTTAATTAAATATAATTCAATTGTCTCAAATAAAATTTCAATAATATCTTTTTTTTTTTTCAAATGATCTCTACAAAAAAAAGTAAAAATAATGAATGCCTTCGCACAATTTTTCTATGACATGACTACCTCTGGGTATTACAGGGCCAAGTCCAGCGAGGAGAGCCTGAATAGAATGTTAGCTCGGGTTTGTCTTTTCTACGTTGCAAATGTGCGTCATTTCCGAAGGAGATTTGACATCGGGCTTCGAGAAATATCAATACTGATCTCAAAAATTGCTCACATCTACAGTCCAAATGTAGTTCTCACAGTGATGTTTCAACACATGGTAGAAAAAAATTTATTTTAAATTAAAAAAAAGACGGTCATGTGCAGGCTGGGTCAGATGTCCATAGGCTGAATACTTATAACCCTGGTATATGTGACTCACACGACCGAGAGTCCTCTTTCTTTTATGGCTCTTTTCATATTCATCTGTTGCTCTTCTGGAACACGCTATGAGCCATGCACTGGGGAAAGAGGGTGGCGAGGCAGCTGTGGCTCGTTGTTTGCTCCCACTGCCAATCTGTGATTGTGCAAGCATTGAGGGTCGAAATGGGCATTCGTGCTCCCCAATGTTCTTAAGCATAAATCTATCGGCGTAGCCCAAGTTTCATTTCCGATGTTAGTCATTGCACTACACTCAAACCTCTATATAAGGAAATATTATGACAAAGTAAGTGAAAAATAGTCTGGCAATAGATGTAGTGTTAAGAATAAACCTTTATAACGCACTTATTTTCTTGTAAGATGCCACTCTGTTACAATGAGGTTCAAGTGCTGAGATGTCATTTTATTTTTGGTTCTATGCAGCACTGGCGACCCCCACCAAAGGTATCAGACGACCAATCAATACAGTACCGTCCATCCTGCGTGCTGCTTAACAAGAAGCTGCTGGCGACGTCTGATGACGATGATGAGGAAGAATCCAGCGCATCTCAGACATCTGGTGCATTGTCACCTGATGATGGCAAGGACAAAACAGAGGACGACACTGAGGGTGCCGATGCTACTGAGGAGGCGAATGGCAGTCAAGCAGACTGCCTGATATCACTATCGAGGATGCAGGTGCCAAGTTGCCGTCATCGCTGGATCACCAAGACGATGCTACTGCAAGGTCTCCAGTCGCCAACGACAGCTCAAAGCAGCCCAGCTCTACTCCAGAGGACAACTATGTGAATCCCGTCCAAGTGGCAAAAGAACGGCTTCTGGGTGTTGAGGCAGGCATTGAGAGGCGGTACCTTCGTCCGCCACTGGGGACTAGGCAAGAATGCTCTTATTATATCATTAGTTACAGTGAAGAAGCAGATGTGACCATTGTTTTTCGTTATTAGTTGCTCAGCATTGACGGCGTAACTTTTACTTCCCTCAGTAGGGATGGTACTACAGTCGAACCCCGCTACAACAAAACTGAAGGGGTGCGGAAAAAATTTTTTTCAAGTGAAAATTTTGTTATAGTGAAATCGAAAAAATATAGCTGATCTGAACTAGCAAAACAAAGGAACGCTTATTCTCAAAATTCTAAAAATGTCCGCTGCTTCCTATTCTTTCCCAGCAATGTCGCGACATGATTGTCACCCATGCATAGCGATGCTGATGCCATGGTAAAAAGCATGCTGAAACAACGCCTAAAACCGTCTTCGTGAACGAACCAAACAGTTGCATTAACAAGTTAACACCAGCAGCTGTCCCCCGTCACAACGCAGAGATGGCAGCACGGTATCGTGGAGCGGTGACTTTTGCCTTATTTTATACCATTCTTATCACCCATCACTCATGGCTAGCAGATTTTGTTGATAATGCGGACAAACAGCCGCTCTGATCAGTTAACGCATGAGCCAAGCGCCAACAAAATGATAAGCATTTGAATTGGAAAAGGCATCATTTCGCAAATGCACCCAGCAGCTGGGTGAAGGAAACCACAATCTAAGCAACTGAGCTTCAGCTTCGGATCATCTGCGGCTATACCGTTAGCTCAATCTTCAACATTTTGAATGCGTTTTCAGAACCTGAAAATACGTCGTTGAAGTCTAAGACATGCGTTGGCTCCACCAGAAACCACCGCTGTTCAGCAAGCATGGGCGCCGCCATCGCTCGATAGCGCTGGCAGTGAGACTGCTCTGTTTTTGTCACTGGCAAGGGTGGGCACAGACCAAGGGTGGTCTCGAAAGTGGTCTAAGTGGAAAATTCACCACCGTGGTTTGTGAACCACAGGCTGGTGATGTCTTTGAGGTAAAATGGGACATACTCCAATTTCGAGGGGTTGTCCCATTTGTTGGCGGCACTCACCTTTTCAAACAGCAGCAGCCAGTCTTTCACATCTTGGTCCACGGTGCCACTGAAGAAAGGGCATCCTGTTAGCGCAAGGCGGTAGGCACGATGAGAGTAGTAGAGATTGGGGCCAAGCGTTGCTGGGCGGTGCCTTGCCCGGTGGTTTGGTCAGGCATTGTCGGCGCAGTGGGCCGCTTCCCGCTTCGAAGTTCTTCATTTAGATACCCAGCACGCTTCCACCACTTTGCAAGAAGGTTTATTAACGAAGCCTGGTAGTATGCAGACAGTCGGTACAGAGAGAAATAGTCTAACGGGTTCGACGCCACAGCTTGTGCACACCACTTGTGCTTCGCACTAAGAGATGGTCCCACTGGTGATTGCCTTGCTAATTCACCCCTACAAAAGTAATTTAAACGTAATACCAAAAGAAAGGGAAGTGGTTGAAAAGATTATGTGCCACCGACAGGACCCGAACGCATTATTTGAAGGTTGCAGGTTCAAATCCTGGCGGAGGCTAGTCATCTTCTTGTAAACTTTTCTTTCTTTCCGTTTAGATTACAATTACTTCTAATGACACCCCCCACAATTCTCTTCCATCATAGTCTGTTAGTTTGAATTGATGTTGCATTTATAAGAAAAAACTAGCTTTTGAATTCAGACTTGTTTCCTTCAGAAGGCACTATGAGAATGTTACAGAACATGATTACTAGTTCTTTGCACCCATTACATTGCTTTTTTTTTTTTCTTTATTTCTTCAGAATCCACTATGAGAATTTCACAGTAAATCCTTATTAGTTCTTTGCATTCTTCTTCCCTATTTATTATTACTATTTATAGGAAAGGATCGACAGTAAAGCTGTGCGAATGACAAAATTTTGGGTGGAAAGCGAATTCGAAGATTGAAGTGCGAATGTGAATGAAATTCAAATAGAATGTTTTTTAAATATTTGTAGGATATGTTTTTAATACTTGTGTGTGCACATTCCAGAAACACTTCTAATAGCTTGTTTCAAAGGTCACGCTGCACACTAATAACTGCATGTGCGCCACCAGAATGTGTGTTACGCCTATTTCTGGACATGCGTAGTGGATTGAAATCTGGGAACTTTATAGGAATAGATATAAAGAACAATATCGAATATTTTGTGCTTTGCATTAATTGAAAGCACGTGAATGATGGGAGCACGTTGACAGTTCTTTAAATATACTTTATCCATGGATCTTCATTCAGAAGAGCTTTTTCGTAATTCCTTTCACCAGCAGGTTCGCGTTTGTGATCACTGTTTCGGTAAATACCTCTAAAAGGCCCTGCTCTTTCAAGCTTGTGAGTGCTAGGGTCCCGATTCTCAATTGCTTGCTTCCTTATTTAAAAATGTCATCTCATTAATAATCGTGTGCCTCCAAATCAGAGCAGTTAACCATGTTACACGTCCACCTATTACCTTCCAGGGTCAATAGTCGCTGGCACATGCTATCCTAAGGCATCATGACACTGCTCGTAAACTTGCTTTACTTGTTTACTTTGTGTTTAGAGAACTGACCCCACAAAAACCGCTTCGGCATCTCGAGTGGCCATATTCTCTTTAACCAGGTTCTGTTCACTTGAGCGAGGTGGGGTGGTAAAAAGCTGCTGGCCTTACTTCGTTTAATAATGCAATTTGTTAGTTTCACTTAAGCTCTTTGCAATAAATGCAATGCTAACAAACTTTATTGTTGTATGATGTGAGGTCTGACGTCATTCGCAAGGAGAGCTAGCGGCAAGATCACCATTTTGAAAGTTCGCGCACTTGCCTCCCGCGCGGAACCCTTGCTGCATATGCTGTGTTCTAGATCCACACATCGAGTTGGATGACTAGAGACTCCAGGAACACCTCTTGCATGCCAATGCACCGTACATCACGAACGGACCTCTAAAATGATGTAACGATGATGTTGCCGCCTTATCGTTTAAGGCTCAGTGCCTGCCGTCTGTGATGCCTTCCGAAGTAGTGCGCCTGCCACAACCTTGGCCCCCCCTCCCTAGTACACAGGGTGACGTTATTGCATGTGCCCTCCGTGCAATCAAGATAGGTCGGCTCTTGTCATTTCTGCTTCAGCTGCGTTCGCAGCCCCCACTCGCACGCTGCTACGCACGTGTGACGCGTGCCAAGTGCGAAGGATGTTATTGATTTGGACATTACACAAAAAGGGATGGCGATGGCGAAAGCCAGTTGAGAGTGTCCGTATAATTGCTATCACAATAGAAACAAAATGGCTTTTGCCTTCGAGTCGTCTGAGGTAAATGCATAAGGTATATCCTGTAAGGTTGTGTTTCTTTTTTTCTTCTGCTTTCTAAAGGACACTAGGGTATCTTCGGTGTACAGACAGTATGCCCTAGTCATATACAACTTCACTGCAAAAAGGACAAGGAAGTTTGTAAACATGTGGTCCACCGTTGAACTTACTTTCTGACGCATGCGTGGAAGCCCTATTCAAGCAGATCTCCATATCTGGGCAACCTGCGCAATTGTGAACGATAGTCTGAAAGCACTGTGAGAATGTTCTTGCGCCGACAGAGAGAGGCCTCACAGAGAGGGAAGGGAGTGTCGGAGAAGTTTAGCTTTATAAGGCTAGCCAAATGACGTCATGTTACGCCCAGCAAGTAATCGATCGTAAAGAAGAAGAGCCTCTCTTTCTCCTTGGAGTTGTATATGGGCATGCATTTTGGGCAGTGTGCTGAGTCTTTAGCAATGAAGCATTGCTGTACTTCGCAGCATGTCTGATGATAACTACGTAGATGTATTTAGAATGTTATTTCATAAAGTACAATTTTATTGAACTGGTATTCTGTTTATTTGCTATGAAAATAATCGCTAAACAAGTTGTTCGCGAATGACCAACTACATGACTCCCTTACTTTTGCTAAAACATGTTGCTATGTTGGTTTGCATCCATATTTTTGCCTCAGTGAGTTAAAGGTGTGCTCCTAAGATGATTGGCTTCATGAGATTCGCGATGAATCGAAATATTTCTAGCTCTTCACAAGGGTCCCAAAATTATTGAGGTCCTCGAATGTACAGTTGAGTCCACTCATAAGAATACAAGTTTTAACAATATATCAGATATAACAATGGGCAGCTGTGCTACCATCAGCTTTTCATAGTATTCTATGGCAAAATTAACCACTTATAATAATGCTGTTATGGTGCAATGAAACAAAAATGCAAAAAACGCTGCGACAATGCCTCCCCAAACCCGCCTATTACACAAAAGTGCACTTGGCCTGGCACACTGCGAGTGCGTGCCGAAAAGGCTTGCATGCAACGCAGAGGAGGGTCTCTATAGGCAGTCCATTCTAGGAGTGTGCCGGCTGTAAAAAAAGCACCGGGGCGCCTAAGCTGCTTCACCAGCACTGTGTCCACTGTGCCGCTCTATATAAGGTGGGCTTTGCTGGGGATTCCAGTGAGGCGTATGAGGAAGGACCTGATGCTCCTGTCAACACAGAAACTTTGGTCGTCGGTGAACGGTGGTGATAGAGACGCGTCGAGACTTAAGGAGTTCATGTATGCCGACGACACAGTAGCAACTGGTCACCGACGAGGTGATCCTTGTTGCGGTCACATGCGCAAAAGACTACAACAGTGAGGACAAAGAGGAACCAAAACCCGTGCAGCTTGTGTCGCATCAGGGAGTGTTGCATATGATAGACTCCATGCGTGATTTTGTGTTTGCTAAAAAGATTCCGCTTGGCCACGCGCAGCCGAAGCTGACTGCGTACGGTTTTCTACCTGCTAAAAAGTGTAAGCAACTTGACCCTTATATGTGCTCTTGTTTGTAACGTTTTCTTTGTTAATTTCAGCAAAGCCTGCTTATAACAATGATATTTTCATGGCACCTCAATATTTTTGTAAGTGGACTCGACTGTGAATGCAACTTGCTTCTCCGCTGCTCTCCAGGTCTTCAGAGTGCTCCCATATGCAAAGTTATCTGCTCCAAAGTTCCTCCATAGCAGCAAGTTGTCTTATGAGGCAATACATTAGACAAATTGTATTTTATTTGCTCCAACCAAAGTGCTGCTGACAACACTCTGCACGTGTAAGGCAAAGACGGTATTTTCTCAGCTTTTTTCAACTTCTGTGGGAGCTGGTGTTGCGGACGAAGGTGTGATTCCTTTGAGTTCAGAGCTCCAAATCTGCCTAGTAGACATGAATGTGTGACATTTTTGAAGGTAAACATTTTTGGCCTCTATTTTTTTCAGGCCTCCTGCCCTAATATCAGGTCCAAACTGGCATTGATTGAGCCACAACGATCATTTCTATGTTGGAAGGAGGGTTTTCTCGCGTCTATACATTTGCAAACGTCGCAGAGCCTGAAAGGTAGCTTTGCTGCAGTACAAAAGTATGGCGGGGTGAAGAATGTAGAAAATCTCAAGAGGCCACTACTAATTTGACGTTGAGTGCATTTGTCTTTGGGAAGTTTGAAAAGGGAAATTGTAGTGTGAATCAGATAGAACTCCAAACACTATTAAAAAAAATATTCAAAGTTTTAAGTGTTCGCACACCTCCTACTAGACAGTACATTTACCAGATCACTTTCATCATTGCATAAGATGGACATTGCTTCCAGAATTTGTGCCCAGGCCTTTTCTTTGAGCATGTGCTTATTAATTTGTTCATTGCCTTTGAATATAAACCAGCAATGGCTGAATTTTCCAGGTATATATCAACCCATTGTATATTGTGGTGATTTGTAATGAATTCTTGCCAGTGGGAGCAGCCTGCCACAGATCGCCAATGCCAGCAGCGGTGGCAGTAGCAGTGGTGGCAACAAAGCTGAAGAGGAGGTGGCCGGCAAAGGTCCAGGCGAGGAGGATGAGGAGCCAGTGTTGCCCCCAGGGCTGGTGCGGTGGCGTGAGGCTGTGGCCGCATGCCAGACAGCTGCTCAATTGGCCATGTGTTTCAGCCAGCTGGAGGCATGCATTGCCTGGGATCGCTCCTTCATGAAGGCGGTGAGTGTGTGTTTCAAGCATAATTTTTTGTGCGAGTTGCACATTTTGATAGTACTATGCCAGCATTCCTAACTTGATATTACCAGTGTGTGTGTGTGTACACACACACACACACATATATATATATATCAGACCATTTTCACTGGCACATATGGGTTTGGTATGTTCGTATTGTTTGATGTCTGTTGTTTGACCGTGATGATTTTTATGTTAGGGTGACTGCTGTATTACTAAATTGTGCATCAGCTGGCCATTGAAAATAAAATCAATACAGTAGGCTCCTGTTAAATAAAACCTGAAAAGTCTAGGAAAATGTGTTACATTTAGCAGGAGTTGATAAAACGGGGGTGAAGCTCTCATGTGCAATCATTTATAGGCAGATTAAACAGTTTCTTTTAACCACAGTCTACTGTATTTTACTGCGTTATTTATGCCTGACTTGTGTATGGTTTCTGTATTGACTTGTGAAGACACTATCCTTGGATCGCACTGCCATCAATATAATCTAGGGCATAAACTCTGTTCAATGCAGTTGTGGTGCACTTACATTCAACTGGTAATCCTAAGAACTGCTGCAGCAGCCTGAAAAAGTTTTCTAAATGAATGGTGTCGTCTTGGTGAAAATGTCTTTCTCTGTTTCTCCTTCTTCAGAGCTGTCAGTTTTGCCACAGTGGAGACAATGAGCAAATGCTCCTGCTCTGCGATGGATGTGATAAGGGCTACCATACTTACTGCTTCAAGGTCAGTATTGCGTCCTTCATCGCCTTGCTAGCTTTGTCTTTAGGTCACATTTTCTTTAAATGAAAAATTCTAGAGGGCAAACATATATTTGATGTGTACTTTATTGCAGCCCAAGATGGATAAAATTCCAGATGGTGATTGGTACTGTTACGAGTGCCTAAACAAGGTGAGCAGGAAATTCACGCGCAAGTTTTCATGAGTGTTCAGGCACAAAAGAACAAAGTGTAGGTGCCTATAATAGGCGTGTTTTAAGACATATGTCCCGACAACCAAAGCAGGCAAATCGTTTCATTTTATTATTTTCTTTGAAAATGTCACGGATTACGGGCTGCTGCTGCGGGCGATGAACTGAGACATGACTCGGATAACAACACACCACATTTAATAAACACCCATGCGAAACACCCTCTATAAAAAAATATACAAAACCATTATTAATGCCTTCAAATTTAAACTCGCATGCACTAAGCTTACACTCCAACAGCGCTACACGCTAAACCATCTTAGCGTCAGGCGTCTCTAGCCTCATAGTCGCTCAAAACTTGCGTCGCTTTTACTTGCCACAATTGATTATCTCGACGCCAATGTCCTGATTTGCCGTACACGGTACCAGTTGGGGATCTCAACGAACGTCGTCGTTTCCGACGTGGTCACCCGTTATTACAACAAGATTTATTTGCTGGAACCATGCAATTTTGCTAGAATCGTGCAATATGTACTTGAGCAGTATCTGAGGAACAATAAGACAAAGCCTACAGAAAAGACCTATGACTATGTAATCATCATGACTGCGTGCCATGAACATCATGTGTGTCAGTGTTCTGTAGAGAATCTATTTCCTTCTGTGATAACGCAATCGAAGGCCTGCCGACACATACACCACCCAGCCCTGCCATTTCTGCGGCTTCATAAAGTTCGCGTATCATCTGATATATTTGTCAGATACTGCTCAAGTATATACAGTCGAGCCCACATATAACTGCCCCACTTAAAACGAACAATATCCGCGTGACTGTGAAAATATACATTGGTTCAATGGCACAAATTTGCACTTACAACGAACGTCTCGGAGTGCTGCTGATCGGTTACAGCGAGTGAAGTAACCGACTTCCCGGGAAACCACTTTCGACCACCGATCAGGCATCGGCGAGGTGCCCATACATTCTTATTGTTAAACGCCGACCCTGCCTCGGCGACCCTCTAGATGCTGCTATCCCCGACCCGTGAAGGAAGGAAAGCTGTTTCCTTTCTCTATGCCCCGACTGCTTTTTGTAACGCACCCCTCCGTCCTTTGTCTCCCTGCTACTTTGAGCACCCCGCATCGCCAGACGAGGCCTGTGTTTTCACACTGCCACCGATCCTCCGTAGGCCGGTCGGCCATCCACCCTGCGTTTGATCGCTGGTACTGTTGTTGGCGTCACCGGCCTGGAGTGACTAGACTATTTGCCGACATCGTCGGCCACCGACTGTATCCGACAGTCTGCGTCTAGTGCACGCGCGTACGGTACCCCACGAACTCTGATAATTAGCGATTCGTTTTGTGTTTAGGACTTGTTCTCACTCACTTCACTCTAGGCTCAGCAACCTTCCGCACGAGTGCGGAAGCGCGAAAACGACTTTTAAATTGCACGGAACGAATAGTGAAATATCGAAGTTCGTGAAGCCACGCAAACCCGCCAGCGCAACAAAACCATTTTTTGATCGCGGCCTCCAATTCTTCGAACACCGCCGCGCCGATCCAGACGGCCGTGCTTCGACTTCTGCGTGCGCAGACACTCTTTCCAAGTTTTTTTACGGCCAAGTTTTGCGAAACTTTCAAGCAAGCTATCCAACCTTCCTCCTCCCCGTGTGTTTTGGTTTTCAAGGTCGCCCTCCTTCCGCATCCTCCCTTCTCATTATCGCAACTCCTTGCCCGTCTCTCACAAATCTGCTCTCCTCTCTTGCTCTGAAGCCCTTCTCTCACGGAGGAAGGAAATGCCTTCGCTTGTCTCCACCGTTCCGCAACACCCGCCACGCTGGCTCGAATTAGCTTCGTTTTCTAACTGGAAACGGGCCCAGAGATTTTCCACGTGTTCTGGCATGTGTGTTGCGTGTGCGTGTCTTGCTCGCTCTTGGTGTGCGTGTGTGGTCATGATGGCCGACGGGAGGACTAGCACGCTTGGCTTGAACGTAATCCGCGCGTTTGGTGCCGTGTCGCGGAGTGCTTGCTCATAGCTGTTGACCACCTGGCAGCCAACTTGCCGCTTTGGTCATCCCGGTATTCAGCTGTGGAGATGGTGAACATTTCGTGGGCAGTGGTGACGGCTACATGCGGACGAAACTGTTTTCGCGAGGCCGACTTCGTCGAGGTCGGGCCCGATGCCGAGCCTGAAGCTTCCGAACAGGACCGCTGCAACGGCGATTTGTGGCAGCGTGTCGTCGACTCCGACCTGGGAGAGCGGGTGGGTCATGTGTTGCGATGGTTCAATTACGGCCGGTGATAATGCGACACTGCAGAACCGTGCACGGATTGTGGCATTGTGAATGAAGTACGTGGCGAGAGTGATTTGAAGGAAAGGGATTGCAAGAACAATGAAACTTCGAAATCGGTGCCTCATGCAGCTTATGCCACGGGCCTCGGCGAACGAGCACCCTGCCTTTTTGAAGGATGAATGAACTTGAGACCGCCCTTATCGTTTCTGCTCTTTGAAACACGTGCATCACGGACTTTTGGGGGCAAAAAAAGTGTGTTTTCACTCGCTACTCTTTAAATAAAAGCTGTGATTCACTACGAACTTCGGGATACAGCGAACGGATGCCGTGTCACGCTCAGGTTCATTATAGGCGGGCTTGATTGTATTGCGCAGCTCTAGTAAATGAATCTTGTTGTAAGTTAGCACCGCTGTCTGCCTCCTTCCTTTTCTTGTCCTCCATTTTCGGCGCTGTTTTTATGTGCATTAAAAAAACTGTTTCAGAATTCCTTTAGGCAAAACGTGTACTCAACGAAAGGGAGAAGGCATTTTTAGGCTTGGAAAAGCTGATATTGGCACTAACCTCGAAATATGCACAATAAATGTTTGATTAAAACGTTTGCCTTCCCTCAGTTCATGCTTATATGTTAAATAGGCTCAATATGGACTCCAAGAAAAGAAATAGGCATTGTAGCTGAAGTTGCGGTCTCTGGTTGTCAGCCATGTGTGTGGTGTAGCCAAATTTTGGTTCACGCTTTGTTTAGGCTCTGCTCTTATGTGGTTTCACACTACTGCACTGCTCTTTTTCTTCAGCTGCTGATATCTTTAGTAGTGAGATGTTGTGTACACAACATCCCAAAACCTCGATTGGATTATAAGATGCGCCCTAATGCAGGGCTCTGGAAACGTCATTCACCTGGTGTTCTTTAACATGCACCAAAATCCAAGTACACTAGCCCCAAGCGTTTTCAGCTCCATTGAAAATGAGGCTGCTTCAGCTGCAACCTTCAGGGCAACACCGTTACCACTAAACCACCGTGGGGGGTTCCACTCTAGTTTGAATGCAACTCTCCCGGTTCGTGCAGGAAACTCCCGATTGTACCTGCACCCCCACTCGAAAAACAGCCCTAGCCTGCACCATGAAAAGAAAACAACATTACTGAAATTTTGGGACCTCATTGTTTTCATGGAGTGAATTTCTCTTGAAGAAAGAATAATGGATGATGCGCTGATGCATTCGTCGCCGTGTGCCTGTGTCATCATATAAACAAAAGGAACCAAGGCCATTCAAATCTAATTATAAGCGGGAGTAGCATTTTCTTGTCTAATGCAATGTGAATCCTGTCGGCATGAAAAATTCGGCAGATCTGATGTACCTTGTGAATTGATGTTATGTGAATCATGAAGAGGGAAGGTGACTGTGTTGTGATTTTTTTTATCGAGTGAAACGTTACGAAATGATGCTGAAGATTCGTACAAACGTACACACAGGCACATGTTAAACAGTCTTATGTTTACTGTTGTGGAACGATTCTCAACAGCAGCATGGGTATTAGCAACACTAGAAGCGGTAAGCTAAGATGTAAAAAAAAAAAACTTATTGAAATGTGTCAAAGGGTAAATCGCTGCAAAGAAAGAAGCAAAGGTAATACAGTAGACTCTCAGTAAAGAGAAATCTGGAGCTGCCGCTTTAACTGCCTCCAGCATGATTGGTTTCATGCTTTATTCATCTCTCAGTAAACTATACACATTTTCTTGGTCCCTTCAGGTTCTGTCCGATGAGAGTGCACTGTAACAAGGAAGTAGTATACAGACGGATTAAGAGACCACTGAAAAAATCCTCAACTACTCACGCATTTGGGCAATATCTCAATGTCAATGTACACTGCTTTTTTGAGAAAACCACAATCTTGTCACAGGTTCATGATAAAATGGAAGGAGTCTTAACCGAATCTTATATGATGGCACTCGCCAACACATGCATCAGCGCACCATTCATTAATCATTCTTCAAAACAAATTCACTTGATGAAAACAACTTTTGTCATGCCCATGTGAACACTTCCTTTTTATCTTATCTCAGGTTTTTCGCGATGCCTTTCGTTATGTAGACTCCCATTGAATGAAGCTTTCTTAAATGAAGTTGCTGCTTAAATAGAACAACTGGTGCTCATACTTGAGTTGTGTACCCCTGTTTATCTCTCATGAAATGAAACTGCTGTTAAATGAAACACATTTTACTGGTTCTTTCCGGTTCTGTTTAGCAGTAGTCCATTGTATATGTGAGGAAAATGTCTGGAAATAAAATTGTTGTTAGTCTGCTTTAGGAGTCTATTGCATATGTGAGGAAAATGTCTGGAAATGAAATTGTTGTTAGCCTGCACTGTCTGTTTGTACTGCCGTTCCTGTACGACAAAAAGAACGATTAGCTAGGAAGCTGCTAGCTTTCACTAATTTTGTCTCTTAATGCGCACGTGCATACACCATATGATCATGAATGCCAGTATGGTCGCTGACGTCCTCAGTACTTTACCAGCAATCATTCAGAGCTCGCAGCTCAGGAAGTAAAATAGTATGCCGTTTTTCTGCTTTGTGGCTGTGATGTGACTAGGCCTTAGTTGGTGCAGTGACCTACGGTGCTCTGACCAGAAAAGCGCGAAATGGCTGCAGTGGCTATATCAGTGCTTGAGGCCCGCACATTGTGCAATGTCTGTGCGAGAACCTCGGGTGCCCTCAAATAGGACGTCTCTCGCAGCCAGACTTGTGTCAGTGAGAGACCTGACATTGGCGGAGGCCTCCTGAGAGTTTATGCTCCATTCCTTACCAGATTGCTGCGGCTACTGTGTGTGCTGCACAAGCATTGCTAGTGCTCTCTGGCAAGTTTGGTTTCCCCAAATAAAGGCCCGCTGTGTTGCAGACCCAGGACGAGAAAGTGTGCATCCTGTGTGGGAAGAAAGGCAAGCTTGTGCGCTGTGATGCCTGCCCAAAAGTTTTCCACCACACCTGCTTGGATCCACCTCTATCCAAGTGAGCATGACGCAAGCTGAGCACAAAGTCACGAGTCTTGACACAGCTTTGGAACTGCTTTGCAATTCTTAAATTTAGGTGTGCTGCTCCTACGGGGAAAAAGATTGCTTTTTTGTTCCTTTGTATGCAGTGCTAGGAGATTGCTTTGGGCCCAGCGAAGTCTGCTCTTTTGTGCATCAAGTTTACTAGAGCAGGCTTGGCCATTGCTGATTTTGTTCTAAAGCCGTATCCTAGTTTCAATGGAAAAAGTGGGCTTGGACAGATCACATAATATGAAGAATGGATCAGTGATAGTCCGTTAGAGTGACTGAAGGGAGTGACCAAAAATGAAGGATGTAGCAAAGGAAACTTACTAGCATAAAATGGCCCGTGGGTTGGAATTTGCTTGCGCATGACTGGACAAATAGGAAATCATAGGGAGACACCTTTGTGCTGCAGTAGACATGAAATAGGCTGTGGATCAACATCTTGCTACATTGTAAGCTGTGCTCTAGCACCGTCAAGCACAAGAATTTGCATTCACAAACTGTTGCTTTATTGGGCATAAGTCGACTCTTGTTAATTCAAACTCGAAGGGACTTCTGAATTTTTTTTTTAAAATATCTAGAAGTTTCAATGATCAGAAGTTCTCAGATATATATGTCTCTAGGTGAGGTGCACCAGACATTATGATCAGGCATTGATTTAACGCATTCAAAAATTCTTCAAGCATTTTGAAACCCTAACTGTATGCAATGAACAGAAAGCAGAGGTGTAAGGTCCACAAGTTTATTGGCCATTCACTGCTGATCAGACCTTTTAAAAAAATCGTGAATTGCCAACTGCTTCTTTGCGAGAGGTGCGTGCCTTGAGCAGAAAGTTCTCTATACCAGTTAAGAAGCATCTCAGTTTACCATGCATGTGCCTCATTTGAAACATTTGTTTACTAGCAGAGCCTTTTTCCTTGAAGGCCTGAGGTGTCATTTTCGCACTGTTAAATAATTATATAAGCACACAAATTTTTAAATAGGAGTGGGAAAGCAGCAGATATTTTCTGGTATGGCACCGCAGAAAGTATGAATTAGCCGAATGATGGAGTTTGAATTATGATTTTTTTAATACATTGCAGCAAGCTATCTCCGAAGCATCAAAACAAACCATCGATAACCAAGATTTATGACAAAATACGGCCGCCTCCTCGCTTCCACATGAGAAGTTCCTGTACACGCGGAGAATAAGGGAAGCGAGAATCGGGAGTGCTACAATGTAGCAGCAATCGTCACAATGTTTTCTGGGTGACAAGTGATTTCTTCTGGTTTTCTAGAAACCTGCGACACGATAGCGAAGAATGACTCTTCGGAACAGCAAATCCTGTCACCATCGCCTGAAAATTGCGTCCACCTCCTTGGGCCTTAAAGTTTCGTATTTGCAGGTAGTGATCGTTGGTTGGCGCGGGCAGTTTCATGACCTTCGCTCGCTATGTGCTTATCAGCTGCGATGTCTCTATGCTCGCACCGTTCGTGAACCCCGCTGTGGCAAACAGATAAAAAAGACGGGTGACATGCTGCGCACAGATAGAAGGAAAAACAATACGACACACGGCAATGGGCAAAGGGGGGAGCGAGACCAGGTGGCTGAGGGGGGCCGGCATTATAATAAAAAAAACGGAAGAAATCCAATGGGTAAGGAGGCAACAGGTGTTGGTTAGGGGGACTGCAACGAATGATTGTAGAGGGTGCGTTTATTATGCGGGGGAAGGGGGGGGGGGGGGGGTTCAGATTTTGGTGACTGAAGTTGGGGGGTGCGTTTATTATTTGAGTGCATTCATTACGCGAATAAATAGGGCATCTCCGCGCCATAGCAGGGTTCATAATGGTGCGACTGTAGAGACATCGCAGGTGATAAGCACACAGCGAGCGAAAGTCGTGAAACTGCCCGCACTAACCCACGGTCGCTTCCTGTAAATACGAAACTTTAAGGCCCAACCAGATGCCGGTGATTTTCGGGTGATGACAACAAGATTTCCTGTCGCCATGGCTGTTGCGAAGAGCCATTCGTTGCCATTGTGTTGCAGGTTTCTATAAAATCAGAAAGTATCACTTGTCATCCAGAAAAAATCGTGACGATTTCTGCAACATGGCAGCAGCACCCCCAATTAATTCTTGCTTCGGTTGCAATTTGGCTCTTCATGCTTGTTAGCCACGCGTACTTCAAGAAACGCAAGATATAGGCGTATAGGCTACCGTTTCTTCTGTCAAATGTTTTGAATTCACTTTTGTTGTAGTTTTTAACTGAGGGTCGTGTTTTCACTATTCATACTCTGGGACCCTCATCTGTATTCTAGTGTTATGCACTTGATGCTTATGTAAGTAATAGAACTGAAACTGAAACTTTCCGTTTTGTAACTTCTCGTGTGAACAGCGAGACGGCGGCCGTATTTTGTTGTTAATCTTGTTATTAACGGTGTGTTTTGGATGCTTTGGACGTAGCTTGGTGCAATGTCAACGGCGTCATCGCAGTCATCGTGTGAGGTTGCCTCGAAGTTGGCAAAGGGCGTCGTAGCTGATGCTTACAGGCATCCCTCGAGATCACTGCCGATACGATTGTTGTGGTTAAACGATTGCGAGAAAAGAAAGTCGCAAAACACTTATATGACTTATATGGGGTGTGCGGGTGGTGCGGGGACAGCTTGCAGAAGATAACGCCTTCAACCACCGAAGATGAAGTGCAACAAAGCTGTTTCTAAACAGCGTACGTGTATGTCTGTTGCGAAAGGTTACTTTTTTTTCATTACCACATTTTTTGCTCTTTACGAAAAAGTTTCCATAAAGTTTGCTCCGCGTAATGAATGCACCCCCAACCTTGCTCCGATTGTTCTAGAAAAATGTGCGCTCATTATGCGAGTAATTACGGTAATATAGTTTGTTTGACACAAAAGAAATCTAGCCTAAGCAGTATCGAAGAATTTGCTTTGCAGGGTTGTTAGAAGCCCTCAGTGGAAAAGGGAGACCGGTGTTGTGGGTTCTTGGTCTGGATTGCAACTGCTCTCTTTGTGCTGGTTTTCTACGTGCCTAGCTGATACTTGACATATCTGATTACTCTTTTTTTCTGATTACCTCGTTTTTGTCTTTATAGACCTCCCAAAGGGAAATGGTGCTGCTCTGGTTGCTCGAAGGTAAGTTGTATGTGTGAACACTGCTCACTGCATTGTTGCGTGGTTTTCACTGACATTCTCTGTGTATAGTGGAACATGCCCTAAAAGGTCAAAGGATGAAGTTGATGTTTGGGTACTGTAGCTTGCGACAAATTTAGTGTTATAGTCGAACATAAGTATATCGAAGTTATCCTCTTGAAATTGCTTTGTAAAAGTATAGAAATTTGCACGTTTATATCAAACGCTTTCGGATATATCGAACGCCGCGCGAGCTGGAAGGTGCGCTTCGAACACTTGCCCCCCCTCCCCCGCGCGAGTTGCAAGGCGCGTTTTTAGCACTTGCAAGCGGTGCCCTGCGACCTCCAGCCCTCGGCCCCACGCCTCCGGCAAAACCCGAAACCCTCGAAAGGGCGAGAGGGCTCAGACTGCGCAATCTGTAACTTGCGAAACGTTTTTTTTTTTCTTTAGTTTTTATTTCTCTATTTCATGCTTGCTCCGTTTTGCGCCGGCTCGGAGAGCAGGAATGGAAGGAGCTGATGTCCTCCTCCTGTCGTTTTTTATTTTTTGTTGCTGTTTTGCGAGTCAGCCAACCACAGCTCACTCCTTTTGCTGTTGCTCTCACAAGTCTCACAAGCAGCCATTGCCTCCCGAGCGCTTTGTTGCTCTCGAGCTGTCGCATCGCCTACGTACCACTGCATATGCAGCATTTCTCTTTTGCATGCATAGTGTGTAAAGCCGCTGCGAACTCCTTGAATTGCCAGCTTCTCGTGTAGCTATGGCCAGCGTCAAGAACTGCAAGACCCTTGACATTGCGACGAAGTTGAAGGCTATTTATATTTAGCGTGTTAAGGAGGGTGAGAATGTTCGACCCTCGCGGATGACTTCAGGATACCACGGAGCACTCCGAGTACCTTGTTGAAAAACAAGGCAGATATCAAGGCAAAAGCGGCGGAACAGCAAATTTCAGGAGATTGTCATGGGTGCACTTCTGCCCACGGGAATGTTTAAAAGGCACTCTATGCCTGGTTCTTAGGATCGCGCACGAAGAAGATTCCGGTGGATGGCGCGATGCTGATCGCCAAGGCCTAATTGTTTGCCGCTGTACTCGGTGAAACAACTTCGCCGACAACAGCGGATGGCTTCACCGATTTAAGCTGCACTACAACATCGTTGGCGAAACCATTTCTGGCGAAAGTGAAGCTGTCAGCAGCCAGTACATCCAGCAGTGGATGACGAAGGAGTGGCGGGAATCTTCGTGAAGTTTTCTCTCGCGGAGATCTTCAATGCCTGGTGAGACATGAAGACTGAGACAGTAGTCAACTGCTTCCGCAAGGCAGGCTTCGAGATGGCGGAACTTGCGGAAACCTGTGAAGACGACGTCGACGAGCGCGAGTTGTGATAAGATCGAGACTAGCGCATTCAAGATTTCAAAAACGGGGAAGCAGGCCAAGGTTATCGTTTTTTTTTTTTTTTTTTCACGCATATAAATCATTTTGTTGCGGTGTGTGTGTAGAACTAGTTGTCATTTTTGAATGCACCTATTGTAGGTGATGATTCGCTACAGGTAAGCTCTCGGGACCTCTATTTTTTATATCAAATTTTTTATATATCGAACTGATTCGCAATCCCCTTCGAGTTCGATATATGCGTGTTCGACATATATTGCGAGTTCGATATATATTGCGAGTTCGATATATATGCGAGTTCGGTATATATTGTCACGTGTTTATCTGTACGCAGACTGATGTTTTTTTTAAAAAGACATTAAAGAGCAAAAGGATTCTTCAGTTATTAGTGAAATTTAAAATCAGCGTGCTCACCGCAAGAAAATGCTTGTTAAGCAAAAAAAAAAAAATGAGCCAGAACAATATGCGGGTGTCAACACCACTTTGAAATTCACGCACAAAACACCATGAGGTCATAGCTTTCGACGACATTTACTAGGGTCTATTTAACGCCTGATCGGTAACAGTGAAGTACGTTTTGTGAGAGTGTCATATATATTTAACCGATCAGGCGGTAATCATAGTTTAAAAGATGCATACACAAAATAATGGAAAAGAGTTCACACATCCGTTCGGAGGAGCAGTCTCTGGTGCCATTTTTGGAGTGCTTGGAACACTTCAATGCACTCGCAAATGCCTTGTTATGCTTCTCAAAATGTTTATTACCATACTTCTCGCATAATAGGCCCACTTGTTTTCCAGAAAATTCGGCTCCAAGTTCGTGGGGTGCCTATTACACGTGCTACAATTTCTGCAAATTTTATTTCCCACTACGCCATAAACCGTTGATAAAGTATGCATCCCCGAAATCACAATTGTCCACACTACAGCTGAAATAGTCTTCTTTAAGGCTACTAGCGCAAAACATGTTGGGCATGCAGTCTTGGGTGTCCGAGAATCGAGGCATGTGATGCGGTGTATATTCAAATTTTCAAAAAAAAAAAAACATCGATAGATCCATGTTGCAACAAAATGAATGCAAAAAGAAACTACAAAAAGAAAGCGCTATCGCAAAAATTTGCCGATTACATTTTTAGGCCGTCTAGACTAAGCGCGATTATCATGACCACGGTGTAGGATACTAACAATTTAGGTGGAGACACTTCTCGGCTTCCTTAAGAGTTGAATCGACCAGATAAAGTAACAGTGACATGCGTCCATCGGACCACTGCCGGCAGCGAACCTATCGCCAAGCCAGCACAACTTCAAGATAAGAAAAGATAACATTGGTATAGCAACTGGCGAGGCTGTCGGCAAAGCCGGCGTTCGGAGAGCGTCACATTTGTCACTCGCGATACATAGTCCATGTAGCAGCTCTAGTTGCTATCATGCCTTTCATATCAGTCCTGTTTGCAAAATTAACTTGTGATGTAGTAAGCAGCTAGTACAGGAAATCTGACGAAAGAAAACGTGCCAAGAAAAAAGAAATTCCTATCTCGAATGCATAGGGGGCTAAACCAGGAGGTCGAAGAATGATACGATTCCCAAGAAAGATGCTTCGGATAGCTAGCAAGGAAAGATCCTGATCGACAAGCAAAAAATAAGTGTTGTTTCGGATGATGGAATTCCTTGCCTTTTTCGTCTTCGCAGTCCAGGAAAGAAAAGCTACCTACCACAGCGCAGGAACACTTTTTATGTTTGTGCAACACAATGAGACATTGCAATCAATAATTATTTTTTTCTTACAGGGCTAGTGAGAAAAACATTTCTTTTAATTTATTATGTTATTCATTGACATTTTTCGTGAGTATAGCTCGCGTGACATTCTTAAAAAGGTGCGCTGATTGTTTAAAGTGAGAAAAAAAATTACCTTGTATTTCCGTGCGCGGTAAGGAATAGATGAGAGCATTGAAAAGATATGTGCGATGCCCCATGTAAACATGTTCTTCCAATTGTTAATCACACAGCTGTCAACTTCTCATCGTATATTTATTAATAAAGTTGCAAAAATAGACTTCGGAGCAACACCATACGGTAGCTGCTTGAGGTTCAAGGTTTAGACGGGAAGCTAGACTGTTTTCTAGTTTCCTGCTTATAGCTAATACATTACCCAGGATTTGATTAACAGTGTATGTACTGTACGCCAACAAACTGTTCTAGGTATCTAACTGCTCGCTTGTCTTTTTATGAGCATTCACACAATATTGTTCAAGTTGTGCTTTGCTGGTAACAAAACTAAGTGCGTTCCCCCACGCTGTTAGTGCGCGCCCAAGATCCAGTTTGCCTATCCGAGTGAAACACCTACCTACCATCAGCGAATGCATGAAAAACTAGAGCTTTTAAATACAGAGCTGCTAGCGACCTACGAAATTTGGGAAGAGATGTCAATCATGTACATTTCTGTTACACTGCAAAAAGTAATAATTAATTTTACAGGACGTGCGAAAACCACTTTCAAATACTGGCATGTCTTTGATAGATAAGCACGGCGACCGCACTTACCGCACGTCTCAAACCACCGTCATGCTTGGTGAGAAGAGTAATCAATTTCACTTTAGCAGGAACAATGCCCATGTGTAACTAAACTCGAATCTCACTCGAAGAATTGGTTGTTATAGGAACGCCTCTCTCTGTGTTAAGGTTCTGTCTACTCGCCGATAGATATGCGCTGCCGGCAGCGGCCCGACGGACACGCGTAGCTGTTACTTACCTGGCCAACGCGTCTCGCGAGTGTCCCCACCTATCTTACACCGTGATCATGATAGAAAATTTAGTGCGCTGAATGGTGCCGATAGATCGTTCGACTTTACGGTCTTGCACCCCATATTTAGGGCACTGCAGTCAAATCGCAAACCACCATTTGAGTGCGCAACACAAGCCCTCTTCAAGTACAGCCACAGAAAAGAGCTACGTTGATCTCATTCAAAGCTGTAACTTTAAACGCCCGCTACCAGCCATCGGAAAACCAGCCAATGCAGATTAGGCCTACGGTACGACATGTTGTTGCGGGAAATTTGTGCAAGACAACATGAAGATAGGGCATTGAAAAGATGCACTGATCCCATAGAAGCGCGCGTGATACGATGTTTAGGTTCGCGGCCAGCAAATCAATGGCGACTAAAGTCAGCCAAGCTTGTGCAAGTCCACATAATGGCAGCAAAGGCGAAAGCTCGCATTGGAAAGCCGAAAAGTTTTCAAGTTGGCGGACAGGGTAGCAATTGCAATAGCAACGACGCTCTTCCCAGCTGGAAACGCAAAGCGCACTTGACTAGGATGCAATCGCGCGTTCCAGGCGGAGTCCACGCTTGCGCCAGTGCAAAGGTTACTCTTACACCCTGGCCTTTCTTCTCCACTTTTTCTTTTTCCTCGCTTCAGTTAACGTAAGAGGGCATCTAATTGCAACTGTACAAATACTGTACAGAACTACTCATCATGGCCAAGTTTGGGGTGTGCCTATATGAAAAAAAATCAGATTTTTCGCGACCGAACTGGGGGTGCGCCTAATATGCGACTGCCTATTATGCTGAGTAAATACGGCATTTTCTAGTTGTGAAATAAAAAAATTGCTTTTTTTGT